GTGTGTGTGTGTGTGTGTGTGTGTGTGTGTGTGTGTGTGTGTCTGTGTCTGTGTGTGTGTGTACAGTGACCTCCTGTTTAACCAGCTGTATTCGCGGCTGGTAGAGAATATGGTTGCTAAGGCTGTGTTCTTGGAGTCGCTGGAGTCGTACGTTGTCGCTGATCGTGTTGGACACCTCACTGCAGCCATTATGAGGGACCTCCTTGACCACTACCATAGTAATGGTATGATGGACAGTCTGGAGAGATGCATCGTCCACCTAGATGTTACCAGCTTGGACATCCAGCAGGTGTGTATGCATGTGTAGTAAAAACCGTCCAGCAAAAACTGTGCGAGCTGTCAAACTTGGTATATAAATCAGAAATGGCGACGAGGTTCTGTGTGTTTGTGTGTTTGTGTCAGCAGCAGCCCACCCAATGACTGAGAACAGTCCGAGTACAGTTATACTGATAAATGGTCCTGTGTGTGTCTGTGTGTAGGTGGTCCAAGTATGTTGGGAGAACCAGCTCTATGATGCAATGATCTACGTTTTCAACAGTGGGATGAATGACTACATCACTCCAATGGAGGTCGGTCCTTTTGTCATAGCAGGGCAGTTTCTTTACAGAAGCATTATTTTATTGTCTGACATGAATTCGAGTAATGAAAATGTGTCATTTTAAGAGACAACAAAGGTTCCAAAGTACGAAAAGTAAGTGTTACTAAAAAGATGGATGAGACTAATGTGGTTGCTTAGCAAAAAGCCAGCGATGTGATTGGGTATAAAAAGGTATGTTAGTGAGGCGCGTGACCAATCTGCAAAACTGCATCTACAAATACTCATTAATCAACAGTATCCAACACAGGCTCCATCAGGTGTTAGATCAGAATGTCCACACAATGTCTGTTAGCAAGCTAAACCTCATGCTACATCTATTCCCACAGCATGGCTTTGTAGTAGCAACTCTATAAACACTGAAGGTCTGTGCAAGCATGAAAACAAAAGTACAACACGGGCGACCCGGGACTGTTGAGCAGCAGGAATCTGCTATCAGACAAGAATGGGACAACAGCCGAACTCACGTCATTGTCATTATCCAAGTACAGCCACTACAACAACGTTTACAGTATCAGTCAGAGGGCAGGAGACAATATAAGGCTTCCTCTCACTTTTATTCAGTGGCAAAGTGTCATTTCATCAGTTTTTGTTTAGTTATCGTCTCATTTCATCAGTTTTTGTTTAGTTATCGTCTCATTTCATCAGAAATAAAGGTTAATGAACATTTAGGTGAGATGGTGAGATGAACACTGCATTCAGTTCAGTTTTTCCATCTACGTGGATTTAAATGAGAATGATTCATAAAAATCCCGTTTGTTGGGCAGAGGGTTGCCATGGCAGCAGAGCTGATTCAGTCATTTGGAGAAGACGGGCCTCCATCTGCACCACGTACTGGTGCATGATGGGTAACAGTTTGTTCACTGATCGTCTCCAAAGCTTTTTCTTTTTTAACAAACCTTTAAAAAAACATCTGAATCGATTGATTCATTGATTGATAAATCCTCCTTATTCCAGAAACTCTTTGCAGTGATTGGTCCAACACTTAAGGAGGGAAGGAGCCTAACAGGTAAAAACCACATTTGATCCGTTGTTGTCCATCTTGATAGCAAAGCTTTTCATCAAATAAATCTCTGCATTTCTGTTCTTGGTTAGATGAGAACGTGGTAATGGGAAACAAACTACTCGTGTACATAAGGTAACTCATCCTCAGTTTATTGTAGCATAAACCCCAGTTTAGCATAAATGCTACGTTTACTGTGGACGAGCAGTCGAACGTTTATTGTGATTTTAAGCTCGTGGCTTTAGGTTTGTGCACCTGAGTCGAACTTTTCACAGCCATTAATCTTTGTATTATGTACACACCACTGTTTATACATATATCTGACAATATATGGTGTGTGTGTGTGTGTGTGCGCGTAGCTGTTGTCTTGCAGGGAGGGCGTATCCACTTGGAGATATCCCAGAAGACCTTGTGGTTCAAGTCAAGAACCAGGTATGCAGATACAGTTGTACTGATTAACTACGCTGTACTGTGATTATAAATCACAGCGCCTGCAGGTCCATCAATACTGTGAACGTCTATTATCAGTGAAGACTGTTGCTCTTGCTGGTTGGTAACAGAAATACTAGCTGGTTAAACACATTTTTTCCCGGTTCAGTTCATTCTGATAGCACCAGTCACGAGACGCTCCAGCAGAGTAAACTGGACACAACCAACCAGAGCGATGAGCTGATGTTAGCGTGTAAGGAAACACGGCTAAGGACAGTTTTAGTGATATAGCAGAGGAATATAGCTGGTTGGGTCAGTGCCCTCCCAGAAGGGAAAGCAGGAATGGCATTCAAGTCTTGGAGATCATCACTCACAGCGTGATTCAGTTTGGGATTGTTAGAGGATGATGATCTGAGATCAGATTTGTGATCCTCAAACTCAAAGGAAATCTTAAAAAAGATTCAACCTTTAATCTTGGTGTGAAGCCATTTTTTTCTTTGGATGCACATTTGGGGTCATTGCTCTGCTGAAAGGTGAAATTCGTCCTCGTCGTCAGCATTCCAGCAGACACACTTTTGTATCACATTTAACATGGTTTCTTGTGATTTCTGTCTGCTTGGGTACAACATGCACCCTGCATGGACCCTCCACACAGCTCAGCATCGCCTCAGGTGTGACTGTTAGAAGGGTTTGTTTACGGCATCATCTGTTGAGCAGCTCTGGGAGTTTTAGACTCGCTGGTTTGTCTCATCGGATTATCTGACGCAGAAATCAGTCACCGGGAACATCTGTGGATTAATCCCAGAGAAACCTTTCAGTGATGCCTTTTTTCTAAACACTGGTAACTAATGTTTGACATGTTCTTGTGTCTGTCAGGTTTTCGACTTCCTAATCCGTCTCCACTCAGCCGACTCGTCCGAGGAAGAGGACGTTTTCCCATTTATTCGTACACTCCTCCACTTTGACACCAGGGAATTTCTCAATGTTCTCGCCATGGTGAGATTAAAAATTTAAATGTAATCAGAATGTATTCAGATCTGGGTTTTTATTTTGTTTGTTGTTGTTTGTGGTTTAGCCTGGCTTGGTTTGATGGTTTAATGGTTTACCCAGTTGGCTGGTTTCCCTGGTTCGACTGCAGGAGAAGATGCAAATTCCCCTGGGAAGATCGTCTGTCATTAAATATGGCAAACAGCGACAATCATGAACATAAAGAATCTTACAAAGAGTGGGCATACAGAGCAGCAGCATGCAGAGACAGTGATCAAACACAGTGCGCTCTGCATGCACAGTATACAAATTCTTTTCTGGGTTTATTGGGCGTCAAGTTAAGCTCTTTGGTATCAACTTGGAGTAGATAACTTTATATAGATACTTCTCCAAGTTCCTCACATCTTAGCTAGCTCCGTCACACAGCATTCAATGCTAACATGCACATTTTTTGTTTTTAGACGTTGAATTCACGGGTCAGTGTTTTGGACTGTCATTTCTGACAGTTGTTACTGTGTCAGAGGACTCCAACACAGCTTACTTTACAAACAGGAGGAAGAGTGTGATGCCAGGGGAGCTGAGCAGGTATGCAGGGAGCTCCAAGCTTAACATGAGTCCAGCCTTTTCTTTAATGTCTGTCTGCTTTGCAGTGGGAATCAGAGTTGACAGGCAGGGTTGCAAAGGGGAGGGGTCAGGAAAAGTCAAGACTTGGGCACTGGGCCGAAACGTCAGGGAAGTGGAAAAGGTAACGTTAAAACTGCACGCTAAGGATTACTGAGTGTGTGCGACTACAACGATCTGATGATGCCTGGAGTTTTATACTGAGTGGCAGAGGAAACCAGGCGTGTCAGCTAAGGACGCAGACGACAACGTGTGTGCTCCGTGTCCTCTGAAGGAAAGGAAAAGTGGCGTTCCCTTAACGCAGAGAGGCACGTGAAGCGGCAGGTCGGCACTGGGAGACCACCACAGTACCCTGAAAGATCACCTGTAGGGCACAAGTGTAGATGTATGCTAATAACCACAGAGTGCAGACCGATGTGGGAGTTTCCCTCAAAAAGGGAAATGTTACTTTTATGGTTGTTCTTCACTCATTATGATGTTCTCACTTCTTTCTAGACATTTGAGGACTTTAAAAATGACAAGCAGGCCCTTGAGTACCAGCAGAGGATAGTGGACATCTTACTTCAGGTAAAACGACAATGTGGGCAGTGAGCACAGGACGCACACGCCGGCTGTGAAGAACTCTTCATTACTATGTGTGGCGGCGGCTTTCCAGCGCTGGCCGCCCACACTCTGCTCTTCTTGTTTCCAGCTGCCCCACAGCCTTCCTGACACGACACCCTGTGTGTGTCGGGTCTTTCTTATGGACATGACTTTCAGATGCTGCTCTTCATCTGTTTGTTTGTAGGCCTCACACTTTTGTGAAGGACACACTGAACACCAATTAAACAAAACCGCTGCGCTATCTTTGGCATTTCATAGATCCAGTTAGTGGATGCAAATAAAAAAGAGTCTGAAAACGTCAGTCCTTGCGTCTTTGACTGAGTGATTCAGTGTTAAGTTGATGGAAATGGTCTGGGACCAGGACTGCACTGAAAACACTTTGGAAGTCCTTCAGAAACTAAATCTGGCTCCAGACGTTTGCACAGTGCTGTAGATAAAACCCAAAATAAGAAATTCTTTATTTTTTACCATATTTGGGAAATAAAGCGGACTTAATGGCAAACGTCTACTGGTGTAGTACGGTGCAGTCATGACTGTGGTTTGCGTTTCTGTTTCTCTAGGTAATGGTGGACAACGCAGACTTCACTCCCTCCCAAGTGGGCGGGCTCTTCACCTTTTTAGCTCGTCAGTTGGCCAAACCAGACAACACCCTGTTTGTGAACAGGAAGCTCTTTGATCAGGTGACCAGTAGCTGTTATACGTTCAGTCTTTTTTTGAGCTAGGCCGTCCTCGAAGCAATTTCAATGTTTATTCAGCATTTCTGATTTGACTACCTCACGGCCTGAGCACAAAAGCACATGACCGTGAACAGATTGATTTCCTAATTTGGATCACACCATCGAATCCTGCCTGGATTTAGAGGAGGAACTAGAACCATTATTCTCCTTGAGAAGCAGCTTCCAGATGTGTGACGAAGCACAAACACAAACCTGTTTTCTCTGCTTGCTTAGTTGTGTTGAAATAAATGAGTTTTTGATTCTGTGTTGTTCACAGCTTGAGCGTATCTGTACAGGTGAACTGCATCAGGCAGCCGCCTGCACCTCTCTGTTTGCAAAGTGTTCATTCCTCTGGCAAAGTCGTGTCTGTGCACACAAAGTGTTTAGACTTTATTAACATATTAGTGTAACAGGGTTGAAGATGATCTAGTCTTAGCAACAGCACATCTTACCCTCTCGCAGATGTAACGAGACATAAGCCAGACGGACTCTCGACTATGAACTGAAAACAAGTCGATGACGTTTCACCTTTGAGTCTTTAAATGAATTGGTTTGTCTTTCCTCTTTCTGATCTTTCAATCACCTCATTGTCTGTGCAGGTGCTGGAGTTCCTTTGTTGTCCGGACGATGATTCCCGACACACTGAAAGGCAGCAGGTTAAATACACAAACCTCCGTCTCTCTCGTGACCTTGCGCTCGCTCGCCGCTCTCAACAGTTGCCTTGGTGCCGATAGGCGTCAGCGAGCTCCAGCGTGTCGACCTCCTGGCACAGGAACCAGACGCAGCGTTTTCTAAAACACTGGCGTGGTCGCCTGCTTTGTGCTCTGGTTGTAAATGTGCGTCAGGATCACGGACTGCTGGGAGTGCAGGTCCTCGGAGCCCTGCGGCTGATGCTGGCAGCAGTATTCAGCTTTGTTCACACATCATAGAAAATACACCAAATGTTTACACTGAGAAAAGGAACCCTTTTAAGACAAACATGAGCTCATTTTGAATTCGGAGCAGCACATCTGAAAGTCTGTGTTTCCCACAGCGCAGCATCCCTCCTTCCTTTAACTACAGTCTGTAAACGGCAGCGAGCAGCTGCTGGACTTTAGCGGTGTTCTTGTCTGACATACAGCTGTGGGCAGGATCATCGTTTCACTGAACGGTTCTCCTTCCAGGATCGACTGATTGTACAGAATACATCTTTAATAACTGTGAGACCTCGTAGATTAGAGAAAATCCAGACTTGAGCACCCGAGTCACTAAAGATGCTGCGTCATTAGATCTGGCCCTTGATGAGTAAATGAGAACCTTTGACCACAACTACTGCATTCAGCTGCTGATTCAAGCGTAATAACTAACTTTGTGATTGATTTAAAGGTTCTGCTGGAGCTCCTGCAGGTCGGGGGCGTGGTCCAGTTTAATGAAGAAAGACTCCTGATGCTGGCAGAGAAAGCCAAGTTGTAAGTAGCTGAACGCAACGAAGGAGAATTCAGTTTTAACAACTTTTAACTGCAGCATTTATCAACACGTATGCAAACTTTGCATGAGCAACTTTTAGTTCACTCCTGATTTAACTGACTGCTGTGGTTCCACCAGCCTTTGAAGGAAAATGTCTCTTTGAGTTTTCTTGCTTTAAACAAGTGCACACTGAGGGCAACAGATGAACCAAGCAGAGTTTGGATTTGTTTGGCAAAAACCTGGAATCGTGTGTAAACCTGGACTCAGAGAAGGGAAAGTTGAGAAGTTTCTAAATGTGAAGGTTACTGATAGATTTGTCCGTATGAACAGTGCAAAGCACAAAGCCCTGTGAGTGAGAGAAAATACAGTGTTTTATTGCTGCTTTAACTTTGTCAGTATTTGATATGCACGACATATTTGTGATACACCAATTTCACTCTTGTGCATTTTCACATCAACACATATAGGAGTGTGGGTCTTTTGCTTTACATACGTTACCTGTGAGAGTTTATATATGAACACATCATGTAATTCAAATGGTAGCAATGCTGCAGGATTTTCTTCTTCTTATCATGTGTTTTGCCACCAGCTACCAAATCTGTGAATTTCTTTATGAGAAGAATCATCAGTATGACATGATCATTGACTGCTACCTGAAAGACCCCCTCAGAAAGGTGAGATTATTCAGGTCATTTGACTTAAAAGTGTAAACTTGCAAATGTATTATGCTGTATATGTAGATATTATATCTGTGGAATAATTGAGTGTGACTGTTTGTCAGTGGGAAATCTTTAACTACATCCACAACCTGCTGTCCATGCCTGGATACAGCCACGAGGAAAAACAACGAGTCAAGAGCAAAGTGCTGAAGCACATAAGGGTTAGTACACACACACACACACACACACACACACACACACACACACACACACACTGTTAAGGTTCAAAATATTGGGGATGAACACCAGAGGAAAAACCCACAATAACAACACTGGTCCGGTCGGGTTGAGTCAAACGATGATTTAATGATCACGCACGTGGGAGATGGACACTGTATGCCGACAGTCTCAGATCTCATCTCAAAAAACACATCACCATAGTTTTATGAAATCAGGGTATTAGAACGCCCCTTCATGCGTAGTGACAGGTGTAAGACAATCAATGTTGACAATTTTATTTAACACAAAGAATAACATTGTCTCCTTCCCGAGGGCAGACGCTGACTGCCCCC